AGGGTATATACTAATTTGTATAGTGCATTTCTGACATGTAATGAAAGCTTCTCATAAAAATTCATCGGCTGTTCGGAGGCGGCTTAGAATAAACTGTAGGTCCCTTCATTTGTTGGAAAACGTAAAGACGCAAAACCACAAATTGTAGAAGGAGCTCGGCCAAAAATCGATTTCAAGTTACGATTTGCTTGTAAAAATACTAATGACACTTGGCTAGGGACACGTTGCAACGCTGCAAAATAAGAACACGAATGTTGCCACTCAAATAAAAAAAATTGCACGGTATTCTTAAGTGAGACTCCTTTGTAATTTGGTGGCCTTCGGTCACGTTTTGAATTGGAACCCTTGTAACCCTGAGATGGACCAACACCGACTTCGCCTTGTCAACCCAAAAGTCGTCTATATACGAAGATATAAATTTAATTGTCTTCCGTAAGCTAAATAAATACTACATCGTCTTTATAAAGAAAATTGCTTAAACCGCTTTAATCCCAAATCGTCAAATAGATTAGAGGGTGAGTTCCAAAACGTCGAAATGCTTTTTAATGATGCCGTTGCGCAACCGTATTATTACAATGCAACTCTGCATTCTATAAATTTACAAAGCAACAATAATTTTCAAACTCTGAAATTTTGGAACATTCAAAAAGTCCTAATGAGTTAGTGTATGCCTTTCATAATTGTTGTATTATAACTTAGTAAATTTGTAAGAAAGGGAAGATATTGGTCCACCAAAATTTAAATCGAGTTCAAGAAGATGTGCTGGTTGGCTTTGCTATATCTACGTTTGATTGCAAACTTAGTCTCACGGTTTAAAAGACGTTTCAAAGAAATATTGTTTTAATAATTGTTAGATTTTCAAAGCAGTGTAAATTCATAATAAAAACTTCATAATTACTTTGAAAAAAATTTAACTTCCAAACACTTTTATATGGATGTTCAGTTAGTTAGTTAAACAGCTTGTTCGATCACGGTCAGCTCATCGACCACACAGTTCCTTAGGTGTCCCTATGGCCCGGGATTCAAACCACGGTCTGCTTAGGAGATACCCAAAAACAATTAAAAAATCTTTAAGTCGAAAATTTTATAAGTGTCAAGATTGAACGTTTCTGAGCAAACACGTTTAGCATCAAAAATTTCGAATTGAAAGTACCTTATAGAATTTTCGTATCATGATTTGAAGTATTTTTTTTTACTTAAAACCTGTTGGTTTTGGTGTTATGGAGGCTATATATAATAGTTATCGGATTTCAATAATTTTAAGTACCAATGTGCAATTCAGACTGACGGGCCCTTTGTTCTTACTTACTTCGAACCAAAGTTAATATACCATTTCATGTTCATGTTTTTGTATAAACAAAATTATAAAATCAAAACCACGGAAAAACCTTCAACAATATCTTTTTAATAATAAAAATTAAGTTCTTAAACTAATCTAAGTACATTTAACATATATGTAGCATTTTTAACTCTATCTCCTTATTAAATTATTAAACGCCTACCCGGCGGTGTCGTGTTTGCTGGCTAATTATTACCGGCTTTTCTAAAGCTCTTTGGTGAAAAAATTACCACATGTAAAATCAAAAACAAGTTACTTTCACAGGTGCCAACAACTTTTTATGCAATGCCGCGTCGAAAATCTTTGTTAGTATGTTTGTTTTCTAATATCTTCGAAAATACTCGGCGTGTTATACTGAAATTATGGCAGTTTAAGAAATCGTACATATAGGTTTTTATTTAGAGGAAGTGGTGAATAGGTGACCTTTGAAAAAAAAAAATGGTTTGATAGTACAGGCCGCAAAAACAATTATGTGAGTATGTATTTTTGGTTTCTTTCGTATAAATTTTTGACAATATTTTTAAATGAAATACTTTCGTTTCCTATAAAGTATTAATAATACTTTGTTTATGGGAAAAACTTGACGAACTACAGAAAGTCACAACAGCCAATGGCCGGGTTTGCTAATAAGTTCTATAAAATGTCATCATATCTGTATAAGCAATAAAACTAGCTAGAAAATGAATTTTAAACCTTTTTACTTTACCTTTTTTTAACTTTGCTTACTTATGTGAACAAAATATGGCTTACATGATAGTTTCCCTTTATGTCTACTTTTAACCATCGAAAAAGTCTGGACTATTCCCCGCACGAAGAAGAACACATCTATGATTCAAAAGTGGAATGTATTCGTTTTTTAATGAAGAATTCTTGTGCGACTGCACACTAAAAAAAACGGGTCCGAGAAGTGAAATTGGAACCGAAAAAATCTAATTTATTTTTACATGAAAGTTGGTAGACAAGTAGCTCTTTGCTCCAGTATACTTAGATTTGCTTAATGTTTGTGTATAATAAAACAAATAACATAAAATACCAAATAAAAATCTTCTTAGAACAATTAGATATCCCGGTCAAATTTAAGCTTTAAAATAATTAATTGTGAAAAGTAAAAGAAGGATTTTAGAGGCGTTATTTAGATATATATATATATAGACAGTATGTACATACATATGTACCGTGCGTCCAAACTTCCTTCCCTCTATAATTATTTTTTTACATACCTTAAAACCTACTTGTGAAGTGTGTAAAGTCCGCTTGTTAAAAGCAAAACAATTCATTTCTATTGGGGTGCTTCCTGCGGTAGTATATTCATATAAATTACCTGGTAAGCCATCAGTTTCAGCAGCTTGACTGTTATATAAGCAAGCTAATTTGTTGTTCTAAGGCTAATAATTAATCATAACTTTCCTTAAGTTCATCTATAAGGTTATGACGTAATTCCTCATTGTTCATATTTGAAGACATTTTTTAACTATTTTATATTTGTAAAAAGAAAATACCTAAATGTAAAAATACGAAAGATCACTGACAATACTTTGTTATATACATATGTACAAAAAATAGATAGGTTTGGTATCATAAAAGTTCTTATTAATGGCATAAGACTACTAATGAAAAGAAAAATCAAGTAATTCTGATATAGTGCTTTAGTTTTGTCGCAGCAAGGTTATGAAGGCGGCTTCTTTCTAATTATTATATTTTTTCGGTTTAATAAGAAGTCATATTGTTTTGGTTTCATTAAAACAACAACAAATTTATCCAAAGGCATCTTGTAAATAGTATGAAAAAATCAAAATTAGCAAATTTTTAAAATCTTATTTGCTTTGTATTTGCATGGTAGTTCTCGAGCTTGTTGATACAGGTAATACCACTTGTTCATGAACGGAATACTCCACTTATTTCTTTATATACAGATAAAAAAAAATTGGCAATTCTTCATAATTCTCACATATTATGCACCTATGTATACATGTACAGTGGCTCAATAAAGAAATCGGATATGCATTCCACTGTTATTAACATGCAGCTTCAAGCTAGATTTTTTTTAATCAATTGATATTAACCATTTTTTTAAAAAACCAAATAACAAACAAATTAAATAATTTACAGGTCTCCTATACCCTTGCTTTAAAAAATTAACATGTGGCATGCTAGAAATTTCGGCAAAAAAGAAGTCGGACATCTGGTAATATTACAGTTCCATGGCATTTTAAAAAGGGTAATCCCACAATTAGTTTTGCTTTCCTTTAAAAATACATTATAATCAAACGCATGCTAGAAATTTCAACAAAAAAGAAGTCGGACATCTGGTAATATTACAGTTCCATGGCATTTTAAAAAGGGTAATCCCACAATTAGTTTTGCTTTCCTTTAAAAATACATACATATGTATATAATCAAACGTAATAGCTTAGAATAAAATTTCAGCTCAATTAAAGTAAGGAAGTTAATTATTAGTCATTTTGAAATGGGAAATACCATTCGGAAAACCGCAGAAATTGTGAGCAGACCCCGCTCAACTGTGCATGACGTGATTAAACGATTCAAACAAACAAAATCCGTGGGAAACAAAACGAAGTCTGGACGACAGAAGTTGTTTTCGGCTGCAGATGAGCGGTGGATAGTGCAACAAATCAAACAAAATCCAAGCATGAGCGCTCCCAAGCACTCAACAGAAGTTTTGCAACATCTCAATATAAATTGTAATCCGGAGAGTATCCGAACAGTCTTACAAAAAAATAATTATAATGGAAGAGTGTTTCGGTTAACCTCGTTTATAAATGGTTTCTTTATAAAAGAGGTTAACCGAAACAAAAGGATAAAATTTGCAAAATGTCATGGGGATAGGGATTTTCAATTCTGGAAAGAAGTTTTATTTGCATATGAAAGCAAATTCAATGGGCAGTCTTATGTTTGGAGAAAACCGAATGAAGTTTTGCCAGAAAAGAATTTACGTCTGACTGTTAAACACGGGGGCGTCTCAGTAATGGTATGGTTGTATGTCCGCAGCTGGTACTGGAAATTTGCGTTTCAAAATTGGTAATATGGACCACAAGCAATATCTGACCATTTTAAAAGAAAATTTAGTTCAAAGTGCGGAAAAGTTGGGAATTGAAGACAATTTCCAGTACTACCAAGACAACGATCCCAACATTTAAGAACTTGATAACCGTCTTATGGCTGAGTAACTGTCCTAAAGTGATTAAAACACCTCCTCAATCTCCCGACAAGTATAAATAATATTTTGTTTCTCTTTAAATACTCTTTTTAAATTCTATGTGATGTATACGTCCGAGTTCTATTTTGTCATCAGTTTTGTTAAGTTGTTATGTTCATATTATTTTTATATGTCCGTGTTGAATTTAGTTTGTGGTTTTGGTTGTTTTGAAAAATACACTGGAAGAATAGAAATATATATTAAACAGAAAGTCCTCAATTTGCATTTTATTATATATTTTTTTGTTTGAAGTCATATAACTTGGGTGTCCGAGTTCATTTTTGAGCCACTGTATATATTTCACATTTCTATAAAAGTTAATACATATGTACATAGCTTCGGATTATAGAAGACTAACGATTTGCTTTTACAAGAAAAAGCATATATTTGGCTGCGTTGCTAGTTATTTATGAAATAAATATTATTTGTGATGTATATACTCACGTTGCATTGTCCTTGGGAACAATTTGCTCTGCATCTATTTCTACTGTCTCCACCTCCATGTCAGATGATTGCTCCTGTTCGTTGTCACTATCTAGAATAATCACTTCATCCATGAAATAAATCTCGTAGAGTATCAAAGCTTTCCGGTTATAATTTATTATACTTTGCTTAAGTTATAAAAAAAATTACAATTTATTTGTTGTAAAACACGATGCTACTTGAAGTAAACGAATAAAAGCACGCGTGAAAAAGACAACTTCGATTGCAATTACCGAGAAAAAGGTATACTGAAAGAAACTGCTGGCAAATGAGCAATGAACAAATACATAAATGCGAAAGCAAATTCTGAATATTACTCAATTTGCTTATGTTTTATACAAGTCACAATTTTTACTAAATTTTGTATTTTCCGAATTATTTCTGACAAACGCTAGTATGCTTCAAAACATAATAAAAAAAAGTATTTTATATTCCGAAAAATATTTATTAACTTCTAAAAGTATTTCAGAGCAAATCACCTACAAAGACCCATAATAATCAGAAAACGTATTTTACCAGGGCGAATTCAAAGAAGGTACCAGAGAACGTATAATAACGTTACACATTATACGTTCTTTGGTACAACCAAAATGTCAAAGATGGATTCATCCAATGTCACGCCATGAATTCGCTTTTCCCAATGTTTTCCGTGGATTTACGTTCTCTGCCTTCTCGTTGTATTTACGTTCTCTGCTCGTTGTATTTACGTTCTCTGAACGAAATTCAGTAAAAGCAGGTAATTCGCATAATAATTATTATTATACTGTTGCGAAAATGCGAGGCGAATGTCGATAGCGAGCAACTCGATGATTCTACACTTTCGTCTGCGAGCAGCCGACTGCTATATAAGGGCGACACTCAGCTGCCAAGTCAAGTCAGTTACAAAGTGAACTCGTTGGGGTTAACATCAGTAAAGTCGTAAAGTAAACGCGTTGGAGATTACATTTAAGTAAAGTAAATTGTAATTGAATTGTGAATTACTGAGTAAATAAAGGACATTGTATAAATTCTTTATAACGAAAAAAACTGCAAGTTAAGTTGGCGAGGTTTTATTTAACAATCCAGAGATCGTACCCGAAGGATTCAGAAAATCATCAAGGTTGATTCAGCAAAATCGTAACAATATATATTCTCCGCTTCTTATACGGCATTGCGAATCGCAATTCGCACTCTAAATACATGCCGAATTATTTAAATCGCCTGACACATTTTCGTGAGCGAATTACAGTAAAAGCTGAGGACGTATAATAACAAAGAACGTATATGAACCATAATCTTTAATTTTCCATGCGTTTTCAAATGGAACAAACAAGCGAACCCGAAAATTGTCAAATTGTGCGCCGTGTGAATGGAGGTAATTCGCTTTCGTAATTGAGAGGACAAACAACGTATTTCACGATGCCGTGCAAATGCCTTATAATGCCAGACTCGACTATCGATATCAGATTGTATTTACTACTAAAATAATTCGAATTCAAACTCACATGGTTTCTGCTCAACAATTTGCTGTGAAACTTTAATTAAAAATGAAAGTAGTTAAAGGGAATACATCGTTACATAAATCTAAGTCTCTGCGCTTTAAAAGGAATAAAAATAATTTCTATGGTAAATTATCTTGCCTGCCGGAAAGTGGGGCCAAAGGATCTTCAGGCAAATCCAAAAGTAAGCAAAAAACAATGTTGGAACGTACAAAGAACAACAAATCAAAGGATAATCCTAAAATTAAATTCAAGTCGAATAAATCCCACAATAAAGATCTTGAATCTCTAAAAGACATCGATCCCGAGTTTTACGATTTTTTGAAGCATAATGATAAAAAGCTACTGGATTTCAACATATTAGACAGCGATGAGTCTGAAGATGAAACTGAAATTAATAAAAGTCAAAATGATGAAGAATGTAGCGACGGGGAAAGATCAAGTGACAATGCGGACGATCAACAGTGCCACAAACCAAATGCAGAATTGGAAGTAGCAAGTGATGAGAGCGATTTTGAAGACGAAAATATGCCAACTGATACTGATGGTACACAAAAAGTAACACTTAATTTGTTACGTCAATGGCAAACACAATTAGAAAAGCAAAATGTATCGATAGACGTTTTACGTAAAGTTATTCAAGCATTCAGCTCAGCATTAGCAAGTATTTCATCTAACGAGGGTAATACAGCGCCAACAGTTTTTAAAGTGGTTGGTTCAGCAACTTTCAACGGTGTTGTGCAGTTGTGTGTGTTGCATTTACAGCCAGCAATTCTTCGCATATTGGGCTTAAGCCCACATTCTACGACACCCCTACATAAAACAAAAAAATGGACCAGGATACGAGGATGTTTGCGTTATTACTTAACAGATTTGATTCGCTTAATAGAACAAGTTTCAAGTACAAATATTCTGTCAGTTTTGCTGAAACATTTACATCAAATGGCTGGAATGACTGCATCTTTCACAGCTCTTGGAAAAATTATACTAAAACGTCTTATTGTATTGTGGTCAACTGGAGACGAAACAATCCGAGTTCTAGCGTTTCTTTGTATATTGAAAATAACTCGAAGTCAACAGGTAAGCGGGACTTTACATTTATACACAATTTATAAATTTAACTGTTTACGATTTTAGGTCTCGATGTTGAATCACGTTTTAAAGGCTATGTACCTTTCTTATGTGCGTAACTCGAAATTTGTGTCTCCAAATACACTTCCCAGCATAAATTTTATGCGAAGATCGTTAGTAGAAATGTTTGCATTGGATTTAAATGTATCTTACCAACATGCATTTCTGTACATTCGACAATTAGCAATCCATTTACGCAATGCGGTAATATTGAAGAAGAAAGACAGTTTTCAAGCTGTTTATAATTGGCAATATGTAAATTCATTGCGCTTATGGGCTGATCTGTTAGGAAATACAACTAATAAGCCTCAACTGCATCCACTTGTATACCCTCTAGTTACTATAACATTGGGTGTTATACGTCTTATTCCAACTGCACAATACTTTCCATTACGTTTCCATTGTATAAAAGTGTTAATATCGTTGGCTCGAGAGAGGCGTACATTTATACCGGTTCTACCTTTAATATTAGAAGTTCTACGCAGTAGTTCATTTAACAGTAAACATACGGTAGCATCAATGCGTCCATTGCAATTTACCTGTATTTTACGTCTTAACAAAGGTCAGCTATCGGAAAATGGTTTCCGAGATGAGGTGATTGAACAAGTGAATGGGCTTGTTCTGGAGTACTTAGCATATGAATCAGCATCATTGGCTTTCAGCGATTTAGTCGTACCAACGGTACTATCGCTTAAAAGTTATCTCAAGGAGTGTCATAATGCCAATTACTCCAGAAAACTGAAACAGCTATTAGACAAGATCCAGGAGAACTCACGATTTATCGAGAAAGAAAAGAGAAAAATTACTTTTAATCTTAATGACGAGACACAAGTTCAATCTTGGGAATTGAAAGTATATAACAAGGGTACTCCGTTGGCTATTTATTATGAAAGTTGGGCGAAGACTCACGAAACGAAAAAACGCCGACAAGCAGCTCAAATTGAAAGTATCAATGCAGATTATGATGTCCCAATAATTAAACGTTCCAATAAAGTTGGTGTCCCCATTCGAAATGAAAATGGTGGAATAGAGTTGTTCCCATCGGAATCAGAAGACGAACTCGAAACAGAAACCGGTGACAGTAAAGATAAGGGGGTTGATATAAAGAAGAAAAATAAAGTCAAAAAACAAAAATTGGTCGAAGAAGCAAATACTGTCGTCGACACCCCGTTGGAAAATCCGGAGGAAAATGAGAGCGTAGATATTGTAAAAGATCTCGATATCGACGAATGGTGAAAAAATAGTTTATCAATAAATTTGAAATGTACTATTATCTCCAACCAATTTATTTAATTATATTATTGTATATTCTTCACAAAAAACTCCGAGCTGACATACATATATATTTTTTTATCACAACTTGTACAATAATTGAGCTATTCAAATGTAATTTAGACACAAGTTTTATATTTATTTGCAATGGATATATGGAATGGGAATTCCGATTTTCCTCAATAATTCTTTTGAGTGCTTTTGACTAGTAACAAATAAATACACGTAGGCTCACAAACTACAAAAAAAAAAAAGAATTATTGAAAGTTGACTTGAGTTGAAGTAATTGAACATAACCTTCGGATTTCGGAGAAATAAATTTATATTTAGTATTTCTTTTCTGGATCTTTACCAGGTATAATTTCGTACTCGTTATACTTGGGAAAGGTGCCAATAGTTTCTCTCTTCTTGGGCAACACCTGCCCTTTGTCATCTTTTTCTCCATATGAGCCCTCAAGTTCTGCCGCATTACGTTGCTTCATCTCCATTATTGATAAATTTCTTACTAGCTCTTCCCGAGTAGGTGGCTCATCCCGACGGCCACGTAACCATGCTTCCCATTCGGCTGTCAGTTCTTGATCGAAAGCTTCCTTCCTGTTTGGAACAAAGTATCGAGAAGCTTTCCTTTTTCCAATTGATGGATTCGCCGGTATCTCGTAATATTTGTTACCAAAGTAGTCTTCCCCTATATAATTTCCTTTGAATTGACGTGGTCGCAGGGAATTGATAAAATTATTAAATATTATCTTAATTAAATCGCGTTGTGGAGGCTTCGGCACCATTTTTTTCTAAAAATATAACCAAGATTAAATTTTGACCCTTCGATTGTATAAACAGTGAGCAAATGTAGAAAGCATCTGAAAAATACAAGGCGAATTCGAAGGTAAATAGTTAGAAGGTCGTAGAAAAGAATTTATAAGAAATTACCTTGTACACTGCGCGACAACCGATTAGCACACCCTATGCTGCTCGTCGTAGAAACTTAATATCAGGAAAACTAAAAAAGCTTTTCAAATACATTTTCCCCTTAAAAGAATATATAATTTCACACGAAAATTAATAGAAGATAGGATACTAACTTTATAAATAATGTTGCGAAAATGCGAGGCGAATGTCAGATAAAAGAGAGAAGCCGATAACTAGTACATTCTAGAAACGATAAAACAAGAACCTTCCGTAGCGAACAATTCGATGCTTCTACGCTTTCGTCTGCGAGCAGCCGACTGCTATATAAGGGCGACACTCAGCTGCAAGTCAAGTTAGTTACAAAGTGAACTCGTTGGCGTTAACATCAGTGAAGTCGGAAAGTAAACGCGTTGGAGATTACATTTAAGTAAAGTAAATTGTGAAAGTTGATGATAGTGATTGTAAATAGTAAAGTGCATTATAATTGAATTGTGTATTATGGAGTAAATAAAGGACATTAGATAAAATCTTTATTACGAAAGAAACTGCAAATTAAGTTGGCGAGTTTTATTTAACAATCCAGAGATCGTACCCGAAGGATTTAGAAAATCATCGAGGTTGATTTAGTAAAATCGTAACAATAACATTTTAAATTAATGTAAACAAACATAACATACAAAATTCACTTTTTTTTGCGACAGCTGATTAGCACAGTCACTTGAAAACCTAAAATACTAAAAGAAAATGAGTTCAAATTTCATTCAAATTGTTTTTGTTGTATTAATTTAAATATTTTTAACTTTTTTTTGAAAACAAATTAATAATGTGTTGAGCCTCCACGGTTAAGTATGACTTCGTACATCCGCTGAGGTAAGGAGTCATATAATTTTTTTTATATCATTGAGTGAAACAGCCTCCCAGGACCTTTTTATTCCTTCAATGGGTTCTGCTTCAGTTGAATACTGCCTGCCGTACCATCCCCAAACATTTATTATAATGTTTAGGTCGAGAGAGTATGGCGGTCAAGTCAGTAATTCCACGTTTTGACCATCAATCCAGGACTTTACAATCCTGGCTGTGTGGATAGGTGCGTTGTCCAGCTTGAACTTCCATTTCAAGGGTCCAAAAATATCCTTGATTGCAGGGAAAGCCGTATTCAGTGCACCTTTTTATGCAATGGCATTCATACGGCTGGTAAGAAACTGCAGTGCCAAAGTATGTTAAAGCTCCCCACACCATGACACCACCCGCACGGCTGTGCAATCGATCTAAAGTATGATCTTCCTTTCTGAGATCATGAAAATAGTGGGCATAGCCGTCAGGACCCTCCAAATTGAACTTTTTTTCATCTGAAAAGACTACATGCTCCCACTCCTTAGTCCAGGTCATATTTGACCAACAGAAATTGAGTCGTTGCATCTCTCTAAGTTAGTTTAGAGGTGGTTTTTTTTTTTTTAATTTTAGATGCTTCATATGTTCAGCATTCGAAATAACTCTTTGCACAGTCCGAACGCACGCTTTAACACCAGTCCGCACTTCCTGTAAGCCTTTATTTTGCCTTTTTCAGACTCGTCCAACTTTATTTTATTGATAATTAGTCCCAATAAATAAATAATAAACTGAAACACCCAATCAAGGCAGCTTACACCCAAAAAATGACATGAAAGCGAAAATGTGCCAATCGGCTGTCACAAAAAACATGCATGCATTTTTGTCGCACTTCAAAGAAAAAAGCAAAGCAACGGTACACTTCCAGAGCTCACAGTTATACTTAGAATGAGCGAAAATGATACAGAATAAAAGGAAAAATAGAATGCGCATGAAACATATTCAGAGTAGGGAGTTATTTTCCTTTAAACTGATAGGTTGGAGAGTGTGCTAATCGGTTGTCGCGCAGTGTATAAAGTTGTTTTGTACCGCATGCGAATTCGCCTTAGTCCCTGTATGAATTTGCCTTGGTTTCATACATGTAAACTTGTACCCTGTACGATGTAATCAGCTGAGACGAAATATGCCAAACAAAGAGTTAGTTATAGGAAGAAGTGACGGCATCTAGAGACTAATTAAAAGCAGTATCTGTTTGAAAATTTTCTGTCCTATTATTCCTGTTTTAAAGATTTTGAAGATACAGAATGTTTTTACAAAAGAAATCCGAGATAAATAAACGTAGGACTCAGGACATATCGCAGGTATATCTTTGAATTAATAGTAAACAAATGCAATATTTCAAAATTGAATGAGTCATATATGTGTATATATAAATATATATATTTTTGTATGTGTTAATAGTTTGGACTGACTGAAATTCCTGATGACTTCGATCCTACCGGCAGTTTTGTTGATATGGAAGGTAGTGACAGCGACTTGGAAGCTGAGTTAGCAGCAATTGCAAGTGGGAAAAGCAAAGCACCCGTTCGCAAAAAAGACTATAAAAGAGAAGAGAAAAATGATCTAGATAAAATGGTGGCGGAAAGTCTCAAAGATATTGCTAGCGATGATGAAGATGATGCGGACTTAGAAAATGATAACGATCTTTTAGGCGAATTACAACAAATAGTTGGACGCGATGAATGTTCTAACCCAGCAGCAGCAAACATAGCAAATGAAAATGAAGGAGATATTCCGCAGGATCAGCACGAAAATATACTATCTACTACAAGTGCGGAGATCATGCAAATTATACAGCAACGTATTGAAACATATAGATTTGCCGAAACAAAATCTAAGAACACCGGCGAAAGCGCAAAAGCTCGTAGGTTTGCTCGAGGCCTTAAAACTTTATTAGAAATGCAAAAACTAGTCAACACTGGTAAAGATATAAATGTGGATGATATACCACCTCAAATCAATGTTAAACCTGTAGAAAATTTAGAAGAAAACGTACTACCTTCCGTACCTTCTCGTTCTGCACCACCACCAGCCCCATCAATTGATTCCTTATCTGAAACTAAAAGTTTGGAAGATGCGACACCTCATAAAATAAAAAATTCTACATTAGGGCAGTTACTCCAACGGCAGAAAGAATATAAAACTGCAGCACTTCATGCAAAGCGCAATGGGGATACTGGTGTCGCTATTCAATTTATCAAAGTTGTGAAACAATTTGACATGGTCATTAAAATGATAGAAGATAACCAGAAAGTTGATTTGAGTGATATGCCTCCTCCTCCTGACCAATTTTTGGCATTCATGAAAAAATTACAAGAAGGTGCAGAAGAAAATCAAAACGATATCAATACAGTTGCTCAGCCGCATGAAGAACCAAAAAGTGAAGATGACATTAGCATTCCACTTCCAATGCAGGATGCTCTACAGCAGCGACTAGATAAGTATAAATCTGTACAGGAAACAGCAGAAGCTGAAGGTAATTCCAGCAAAGCCCGTCGATTCGGGCGAATTGTAAAACAGTATGAAGAAGCTATTAAGCAATATAAAGCTGGACTTCCCGTTGCATATGATGATCTGCCTGTTCCACCAGGCTTTGGTCCACTGCCGAACGAAAATTCTAAGGCCGGTAGTTCAAACACTCCATCAACTACCGTAATAGCAAAACATTCTAACCTTCGTGAAGACGGAAAAAATTTAAATCAATTACCTTCAGAGATTCAATCAGCGTCAGCGCCATCACGTGTGTCTCCTCAAAAACTTGATTTAACCACGCGTACATCAGGAAACCAACAAAAAAATAATTTAGCAGAGCAGCAGATGAAAATTCTACTTGAGAGGCAAGCTGAATTCAAAGTTGCAGCGATTGAAGCAAAGAAAGCTGGGGAAATCAACCAAGCTAAAGAATACCTTAAAATATATAAAGGATTTGATGCTTTATTAAATGCGGCTAGTAGTGGATTACCAGTTGATCTTACAACGGTATTTAACATAATTTAAGAATTTTTTGATACGTTATACATAATAGTATAGATTATTTATTTTACTGGGGATTATAATTATTTGGAGTTATAAGTTTTCTTTTTCAACTTTAGTTGCCGTTACCACCTTCTCAGAGGGACGATCTCGAAGCATCATTTGCCATTGTCTCTACGGAAGAATGTAATACGGATGATGATATATCTGACATCGCCATACGAATTGAGGAGCAATTAGCCAAACAGTTAATGATGTGCAAAAACACAAGGTAAAAGCCGATTTGAAAATAAAAAAAATATCTGTAATATATCGTTTTTTTAAGAGACCATCACAAGGCCATGGGTGATGTGGCCGGCATGAATCGCTTTGAAAATTTGGCATTAACTGTTCAGAAAGATTTGGACTTAGTTCGTTATTTAAAGCATAAAAATCATAGTTTGCCTAAATTTCACTACGAAAAGCGAAGTTTTAACATAGTGCATTGCAATACAGAACTATCGGAAAACGAATTAGAAATAATAGTTGTGCGTGGTCTCAACTATAATGTACCTAATCCTAAAGATGTAGACACTTACGTTAAAATAGAATTTCCTTTGTTGAATGTAAGTGAAATTAGTCGTCTATTTTTCTTTCAAGTAAAAATGCAGTTTTCTTTAGGATGATACATTCAAAGTGAAAACTTCAGTAATTAAGAATAACGACAGTCCAGACTATGAAGAACATTTCCGTGTAGAGATACAGCGTGGTAATCGTCAATTTCATCGTATATTTAAAAGACATAGTGTAAAATTTGAAGTTTACTCTCGTGGGTGAGTATTTACAAAAATTTCCTAAATTTGACTACAAAACATTTTCATTATACCTTAGTATCTAACTTGCGAGAAAATCGAAAACTTAATAAAAAACGCTCACGTTCTTGTGCCATTAACTCCCCACCGTAGCTGGTGGTACGCACCGGAGTTGATTTTTTCCAATAATTAAAAAATAGGTCCCAGGTAAAGCTTCTATGTGCTCATGAATTGAGCAGGTTTGCTCCAAAGTGATAGAGCAACCAAAAGATTGTTTTTAACAATATAACTCATTATTTTACCTAAACTGCCAAAACCCAAGTGCAGTTCCTAGTTTTACAAGTTTGATCTCGAAATTACCCCTGACTTACAGTCCTCTTCTTAGACGGTAATGTAGAATCCTCAATGTCTAATAGTAGCTCGGCTTTTTAAAGATTCAGTGCTACCAGGAAAGTTCGCGCGAAGGATCGGTATTTGCTGAGACCATTGATCATCTGGATATTTATGGCGTTAAGTCCGGTGGTCGAGTTATGCTGTCGATAACAGGTGGTCGCTGGTTTTCCGCATGTTATTCCGTTAGGTCCGGTGGATTTGGAGGCTTTTGCCCCTCCGATAACTCGTGAATATCTTGTCTGGAGAAATGGAATGTGTCTGGCAGTTTGCGCAGATGGCGGGTTACTTATTGTGGGTGCATTATGAAAAGCCTGCTTAGAAAGGTCGCGCACGTCTTCGGATCCCATTAGACACTGTCATACCGAATGAAATTTCCATCGGGTCATCGTGTTGGGCTTGATAATGCTTTAGCAGTGCCCAAAACTTGATTGCCCAAGAGAAGTGGTTCAGGATCTTAAGTGCTCCTCCCACTTTCCCTCTTGTGCTGCTTAACCTGACGCCAAATCTCCACATTCTCCACTTCAGTGGGGAGATTGTCGTAATTAGGCTTTCCCCGATTGAAGCGAGCGGCGATGGACACGAAAATCGTAGTGCGCGTTAAAGTCGTCCAAAAGTCGCAGGATGAACGCCACAACCGGTATCTTGATAGGGAAGATAGGGTAGTGCAGAAGGCTGGTGCAAGGTGATGCACTTAGACTAGAAATACCGTATGACCTAGACGATAGCCCTTTGCCGGGTAAAAAACAAAACCACTGGATCCTTTTGTTCCTGTAGCCGATCTTCAGAAGAGGCTTCAAAAAAAGTGTCTGGCGGTGAGGAAGATATTTTGCTTCAAATTAACTAAACCCCGCAAACCAAAAAATTTAGTATTATAATATTGTAGATGAATACAGACAATGATCGAAGGAATAGTGAAAATTTTGATTTTTGACAAAATGGCAGCTCGAATAGTTTACCTTTAAATAAAAAAACAACATAAAAAATAAATGAATGGGCAAATAATTTATATTTGTTTATTCACTTAAAATTATATATTTGTATACTTACTAATAGATTAAAAAGTATAATTAGCTAAACTTGTTTAAATTTGTATGTAGTACTCAGAATAAAAACGAAACAAGTTGCTTATCGGTTAGTATTTTCCAAAATTGTGTGAGTGTATTGATAAGCCCAGCCCATTCTTGCAGGAAATTTTCACTTCCTGCACTTTTTCAGCACGGAATTGCGATTTCTCCTCCGAACTAATCGTCACAACAGCGCTTTCCGTGCAAAAAAAAAAATTAAAAAATAAAATTTTTTGAAAACAATATCATTAAAAAAACGAAACAAAAGCTGTTCGTTAAGTTTATTTCTGGTATAAGTTAATGATATGATTTGAAGCTCACAAGGAAGCGATAAAATCATACATATTATATATGTATTTGTAACGAAAAAATGAATTTATATTTACAACATGTATGAGATCAAGATACAATAATTTAATCCTGTTGTTGCTGTTGTTGTTACAGCGGTTCACTAACCCCGCTTAGGGACAGGTTTAATAAATCAAAATCGCCAAGGTCGATGCAGCATAGTTTACGACAGGCCGGTCAATTGCTTTGTAAGTTGCTAGAAAAGTTTCTTTGTCCTTACCCCAGGTGCTGCCGGCTTGTACTTTGAGTTTTTGTTGCGGGCTATCTAGTGTGACTCTTTATGTTGCTTATAGTAGTAGTAGTTTACGTCATCGACCTTCACATCTAATTCAAGCCTTTACTCCTTTGTTCAGATGGTAAGGAGGGTAGCCGAGGATTTAGTTAGTTGTATTTTTAACTGTCGTGCAGTGAAGAAATGAGAAAGCTCGGTATGGTAGCAGTTCACTTTCGAACAGAGGTCATCAATATCCTGTCCAGACACCAATATCGTGCAATCATCGGCATACGAGGTTAGGTAAACTTCTGGTGAAGGATCATCATGCTTGTTTTCTACACGTCAGGTATCATTTGGAGGCTTTCGCCTTCCCGATTACACCCTAAACCTCTACCCTGTAGAAATCAAGCGCCTTGCTGGGGTTTGGCAGTTTGCGCATACGGCGGGGACACGTTGCTTCGTTTCGTCCGCAGAAGGACGCAGTGTAAAAAGTCGGCTAAAATAGCTAGCGCATCTCCGGTCCGACGACGCGCGATTTCCGATTGAAATTTCCACTCGGTCATCGGAAAGAGGAATAATTGCAGGTCCTTAAGTGCTCCTCCCACTTTTTCCGCGCTTAAATCCTTTATTAGGGGATTCCCGGGATCGGAGTCACGAAGCGTCAATTGATTCACTCTTTGCAGTAGACTTGATAGCTATCACACAATAAATATGTTTCGCCTTTTTATGCTACCGTACTTTTAACACAATTGTGTTCTATACTCTTACGAATTGGCATTTTCAACGTCTCGTTCTGCTCATTTGGGTAACACAATAAAGATTGATCAGATTAAGTCAGTATTCCACATTCATAATGCGTTGATATGTTACTTGTAACTTAAAACTCACTTTTTTTAGATTTTAAAATTCCTATGTTACTTCTATATTATTTTAATATTTTAAGTATGCATTTGTAAATACTGTTATACAAACAAAACAAACTACAATAGTTGCAGTTTAGACTACTGTGGACTAAGTTGTATACTGCCTACCTGTTGTTTCAGCGGATTCCTGCGCTCAGATACACTTATTGGTACGGTTAATGTGAAATTACAGCCCTTGGAAACGAAATGTGATGTACATGATACATTCAATGTAAGTTAAAAAAATATTTTCACGTGTATGTAGCTAGAACTGTTTGTAATTTGACAAGATACACACATTTGTATGCCTTTAAATCGTGTTATTACTTTCTTGGCAGCTGATGGATGGTCGCAAAGCGGTCGGTGGTAAATTAGAGGTTAAACTTCGCGTTCGGAACCCTATTCTTACCAAACAAATGGAGCATATTGAAGAGAAGTGGTTGGTACTGGATGCTTAGTTTTTGAAACTTTAAATTGTATTTTACTTTATATTGTAATAAATTGAATCGGTAGTATTACGATATCGTTTGACTTGTCCTCAGTTTTTTCAACAAACTAATATATCAATAATATTATTACATTTTGATTGGCTTAGTAAAAACAATCTTTTTTTATTTTTCATTTTCCAATACACTTTTGGTACACGAATGAGCACAGTATTTTAAAGACCGTTGTATCAAGTCATCTTGTAAACAAAGTAATTTTGTATTCACATAACGAAGTCTTACTTTTTTGTTTCAATGTATTCAACTGGCGTAGAGAATTTGCTCCTTCCATTAAATAAATCCACACCTCGTATCTTATAGAAACCTTTAATAGAATAGTTTCAAATATTGAGTGCAATTTTATGCTGAGGATCTTAATTATCCAACTTACCACTAACACTAGAATCAGGGGGCGCGTATTGAAAGGATGGATATGGTAAGTGCCAATTTTCACTTATATACCTCCATTCAGTGGTTTGTTCTGGTTGAAACCAGATTTCATAGGTTTTAAGGCAGTGAACAGTGTCCGTAGCTTCGCGCCAAGATATAAATACTTCCCCAATGGTAATTCTTGTAATTATAACTTGATCAGGCTGCTTAAGAACAGACGAAAAACTCGAGCACACACGAAATAAGGCGATCCATGGAAGTTTTAAATCCGTGGTGTTTAAAATTAGTTCGGATGATAATAAGATACCAGAGGCTTGTAATCGAGAAGCTTGGACTCGTCGCATTGCATCGCGCTCTTGGGCATTAGGAAAAGGTGTTGCACCTGTTTGTGTACGCCAAATGTATGCTGGATCAGTTTTTCTCTGTTCTAAAATTTCTATGATATATGCAAAGATTTCTTTAGGACGGGGAACGAAGGAAAGTTGGTGATGAAAGATAAAATTTCCTAAATTTGTTGCGTTCTCCCTTGGTAGAAGCAACCAACTCAAGTACAAGGGATTATTATCGGTGGAGCATGTTTTTAAGAGCCATAGTGCATCAGTGGAATTTCCTAATGAGATAGTTTCAATATCGGCTGCGAGAGGTGCCAGTTTAGACAACATGCCCAAGGCAGCATATACTGGCTTTTGTATGAACTGTGAGTGCAACGGTTCAGATTTGTTCATCCGGAAATGTGCCAGAAGGGTTCGCTGCGAAAATTCATGAGGATGATAACTAATGAAGGCATTATCATGACTAATAGATTCTAAATATTGAAACTCTGCACTATGCAATTTAGCGTGCCAGTGCAGAAATACTATGTATACAAGTTGCGCAGCATATCGGACGTCTTCATAATAATCATGAGGAGTGGACCATCCAGCAATAGGATCTGCTTCACTGTAAATAAAGAACATCTACATAGTACGTATGTTGGTAAAAATGTAGAACAGATCAAAACAACAATTTTTAAATTAAAAAAATAGTACTTAAGCGAATCCACCTCTCAGGAATCGTAATTAAATAGACTGCCGCGGTAGTCGAGTGGTTAGTATTGCGTACTGCCATTCGGAAGGCTCGGGTTCTAATCCTGGTGTCATACTAACATCCGAAAAATTGTAGAAAATTAATTTAAATTAAAAATAAAGATAAATTTTCTAACTGCGGTCGCCCATCGGCAGAGAATGTCAACCCGTCCAAGTTCTGACATGAAATAAAGCTCCTCATAAAAAAACCATCAACCGTTCGGAGGCTGTTTGGTATAAGCTATAGGCTCCTCCAGTTGTTGGAAAAAGATAAAGACGCACATTTACAAATTGGAGGAGGAGCTCGGTCGAAAAATTGTTTTGTATGGTATAAGCTAATTCAGTCTAAATTATTTGGTTCAATCATGCATTAAAAAGAGGCAATAAGTGTTTTACATCTATACCAAATTCAAGATACTCACTCATTAGCAATTGGGATCGTTTTGATATTTGGATATTTTCTGTAAATACTTTCCAACAATATAGCCGATTCTTTCAACACTTCTGTAGCGAGTCCTTGACCCTTTCGATGGAAAGTGAGAACATCTATTGGACATTGATTTATTTGAGAATCGCAAGACTGAAGCAATGCCCAGCATAATGGATGCTTTCTTTTTGATTTAAATAAGCCTGCAGGTCCTCGCAATGAGAAGTTAAGCGCTTCGCTTTGATTTCTACCGACAGCTTTTAAACCCCTCCGTAAAGCTAGCACATATTTGATAAAACCTGTTAATAAGGAATGTAAAGTCAATTATTCATTAAACATATTATCTATTACCAACCTTCCGCAGTAAAATTTAACCTATTGTAATTGGGTATATCAGGCTCATTCCATGTTTCAAACCGCCACTTCCGGAGATTGTGTGGACCTAATAAATCTAGAGAAATAGGAAAGAGTACATATAATGTTCTAGAGTAACTTCAAAAGTGACAAAACAAAAAAAACTCAATATTGGTTTTCCACTGTAGCTCCCTGTTAACCATTCAGAGACGTTCACGTTTTCTTAACATTTGCCAATATTAAATCGTGCCACTTTTGAACCAAATGCTTTGACATCTATACGTACTTAGATAATGCCCAGCGACTTGATAACTGAAATCCTGCCATAAGAAGTCAGCACTATCCAAATTATTAAACAAAATTCCATCCAGATCAGTCATGAATTCAATAACAGGGTACAAGCCGATGTCATTTAAATTCATTAAAAATGTATCCAAAGAAGTGAAATCGTAAATAGGCACTCCAGATGGAGTATACTGTACAAATTTGATCAGTTTCAACAACCAGTGGATGCGTACGTGTGTGAATGCATTGGTTGGAAGTGCTGCTATGTATATTAAATTCATTTGTACTTCGTCAGAAAGCAAAGTAGCCCTCAAATTTTCACTTCCGATTTCACCTGCCGGGCAAAACCCTGTATTTGTCCAAAACCGTGGCAAATCATAATAGGTTTCATTTTGAGTGCAGCTGAGGTTTTGCACAGGTGCAAGAATCACCAAGTATGTAAAGTATGTAAGAAAATACCCAAACATTTTTAAAAGTAAAGCAAGAGTCTACAGAATACTTCAGCTTGAGCTGTATTCGCTAAAAGAACAACGAAGAACAAGACATATTCAATTAGACCCCAAACAGCTGACGTCGCCCCTTTATCTTATGCTATTTTTCTTGTTGTATACTGCCCTGCAAACAGGTGTGCACTATATGCTTCTTTGGAATAATCCAATAAGTAATCCTCAGTAGTGTTCTATTCGACCAACTCACGTCTCGAGTGGTTAGCATTACGTACTACGATTCTCGCATCCGTGGTCTGAGTCCTGGTACGGCCAACATTCACCTCTCTGCCGGCAATGTCAAGCCCACCGAGTGTAGAGAGGGAGCTAATATTTATTTTAAGGAGGCTTACAATAAAATATAGGTCCCTCTACAGCGGTTATAAAGCTCCAAATATACATATGTATACACTCCGTAATGCCACCCATTGTAGGTAGTCTACGGAGTATCTTTGCGGATAACATGGATAACTCGGATGTTATGTTTACTCATAATGTTAATTAGACTCGCGTTGCTCATTGAGAACTTTAAATGCATATACATACATATGCCAATTTGCATATACGAGTAGGTACATAACGTACAAGTAACTAAATGCTTTTAAATTCCCTGTGGAAATAAAAATATTTCAAAGCTATAACTATTGTAATTTGGTGTTGCTTAGTTTATGTTTTTTTTTGCTATTAATTAACTAACAGAAATGCAGGGTATTTTAATTGGCATTGCTAGGCAGATAATGACTAAAGACTTATTGAAAGTTCTAATTTGGCTTCAATTATATACAGCTGCGGCCATAATCTTAGTAGCCACTTGGTTATAAAAAACAAAAATAATAGTATTAAATGTTTTTTTTTTACATTGGCTATCATTAACTATTTATTATACATTAATTTAGTATTTAGTTGTATAACCAATATTATTAATTATGGCGGCGAGTTCACCACATTTAGGCACATTTCAACTTGAATTAAATTCCAAGCAGTCTTTACGGATTCCCATAACTGCAAATTATTTGTAGGACAACAGTCAGACACCGATTTCTTTACATCAGCCCACAAATTTTCTATCGGGTTAATGTCAGGAGACTGTGGAGGCCATTCCAAACACTTACTCGGTTGTACCCAAACCACTTATTTGCAAGCTTGCTAGTATACTTCTGATCATTGTCCTGTTGAAACGTCCAAATTAGTGGGATTTCCTCGATGGCATATGGGAGCAAGACTTCCTGCATGATTTGGACGTATCGGACAGCGTTTACGGTCTCCTTGGTCCAATGAATGGGTCCAACTCCATACTACGAAAAGCATGCCCAAACCATAATGCTGGATCCACCATGTTTTACCATTTTAGTGGTATATTTTGGATTAAGTGCGCTTTTGGGTGAACGTCTTACAAACTGCCTTGAACCTTTTCCACAATAGCAAACAATTTTTGACTCGACCATAAAATGTTACGCCATTTGGTCAAAGGCCAAGTCAAATGGTCTTTGGCGAAACGTTATCGTTTGACCCCATGTTGTTTAGTCAGTCGCTTTTCAGATCGTTTTTCTGTAAGCGTCGGCGGAGAGTTTCAACGCTGGCTTTTACATTTAGAAATTTTTTTATTTCGTTGGCAGCCGCAAATGGATATTGCTTTGAATATTTTACAGCAGACTTAACCAATTGAGTGGGCCAATTGTGATGCTGACCACCCCGCTAACTTTAACAACTACCAAAAGAATCTTCACCCTCTTCCTTCGCTTGCATTACTGCTAGCAGGGTAAACATTCCATCCTCACCAAAAACTTTCCCAAACAAACTTCGCTGCCTCCTTTACAATCTCTTCCATTCAATCTTTCTACAACACTCTCGTAACAGCGAAAGCATCTGTTCCAAGTGGCCCACTCCCCATGGATTGCACTGCTCCTTCTGACTCTTCACCCAAATCTTCTCACTCAACAGCTCATTCAAAAGAACAACTACTTTGTTACCCCTACATTAAATCCTTTCGGTCAGTCTTAAGACATACCAACCAGCAATTCTTCGAATCATCGAAATAATTAACAAATGTTGTTATTACAATATATTCCATTTGCAATTACGAGATGATGTCTCTAATAAAATGAATATAAATGGTTTAATATTTCTATAATCGTGTTAAATGAAACTCACACTCCATAAAATGTTTTAACTCATACCCAAAAAAGCTTATACAAATCATTTTCCAATTTTCCTCACAACATATTTAATAAACAGGGACTTGCTATTCTTATTAAGAGAAGCATACCCCACATCATCGTTCCTACCCCGAATCCTTCAACTAGTCCCCATCAGCCAAGTTCTTGGATTCCGAAATATCCACCCCTAAGATCCTCCGAGACTCTCCTGGTATGCTCAATACCACAAACTTATTTACTCTATCCAATTTGCATTCGAAAACGGAAAAGGGACATTAGATGTTCATTTGCATCTCGATCATGTCGTGTCCGATGCATTATCCCCCAAAAAAACCTTGTTACAATACATTTCCTCGATTTTGAAAACGTTCGGTTGAGTCGGGAGCCACGTCATTTTAAGGCAACTAAGCAATTGGAAAGTTGGTTCAAAAATTTACAAATTCATCAAAATTTACAATTTCCTCATATGTAACGTCCGTTCCGATAATGGCACCTCTCAGAGTTTAACGCTATTTTATGTGCTTTCCTTCGCACTAACCATCAAATTTATGACGATGACCTCGTGTTATTCTCAAAAACGAGCTGATGGGTTCACCAATACACTTACACGATTTCGGGCAGAACCAATACATATGCACATTTTTTGGTTACATAAAAATTGAAGAAGAATTCAGATGAACGGATTATCCGATTTTCTTTGTTCTTATTTTCGAGTAGAACGCCATTTTTTTAACAGTTTCTCCGCAGCAGATAAAAGTGAAAAATATATATCTGATGAGTCCTGTACAAGTTGTGGTAATAATATATTGCCGATTAATTAACTAGAAGATACAAAGGTTCATCAGCGGAATAAAAGACGTGTACACCAATCGAGAGACACGCGAATGCAAAACAAGTTCCAGCAGACAGGAGGTACAGCGAAAACGGAAGGCAGAGGAAGATGAACCATCAACTTCTCAAAGTTATGACTTCACAATCGAGCACCGCAAGGGGAATACGCACGGAAATTCTGACGCTATGTGCCGTCGACCATGTAATATAGAATGTAAACATTGCTCAAAAGATGAGGGTAAAGAAGACATAATAGACGTCCGGCTAATGAAAGTTACGCAAGCAGAAGACTGGGAGGCAAGTAACTTAAGGAAATGTCAGCAAGAAGATCCAGATTTAGAATTAATAATGCACGGGTTGGAGGTAAATAGACGACCAAGTAAGGAACAAATGGCTGCGGAAAGTCCTATCACGAAGGCATACTGGGCACAATGGAAGAGTTTAGAGCTGATATTCGGCTGTTTGCATAGAGTGTGGGAAAATGAAAATGAATGCTCCCGGAAGCTAATAGTAGTTCCGAAGTTAAGAATTCCGGATGTTCTTAAGGAATTCCATAACGGTCCTAGTGGAGGGCACCTAGGCATTACAAAAATGCTGGAAAAGATCAAGCAGCGGTTCTATTGGATTGGCTGTCGGCAACCGGTCGCGGAGTGGATTGCTGATTGCGCGGAGTGCATAGCAGCTAAAGGCCCAAAGTCCAGAAGTCATGGGCAGATGAAGCAGTATAACGCAGAGGCACCATTTGAGCGGGTTGCTATGGATGTAGCCGGTCCATTCCCTATGAGCAAATGAGGAAACAAATACGTTCTTGTGGTTATGGACTATTTCAGTATATGGCCTGAAGTTTACCCAATCCCAAACCGAGAAGCAAAAACAGTTGCGGATGCATTCACTAACAATTGGGTTACCAGATACGCCTATACAATCGCACTCAGATCAGGGAAGAAACTTTGAATCAGCGGTATTCCAAGAGATATGCCAGATATTTGGTATTTGAAAAACCCGAACGACAGCCCTACATCCTCAATCAGATGGTATGGTAGAACGATTCAACCGTACCCTGGAAGAGCACTTGCGGAAAGTAGTGGACAAGCATCAGGATGATTGGGATGTACATATACCGCCTTTCCTGATGGGATATCGGTCCGCCGTACATGAAACTACAGGGCAAACACCCGCAAGGAAACTGTTTGGTAGTGAACTACGGTTGCCCAGCGATTTAAAATTTGAAATAAGTGGCGCTACGAGAAGAATTAGGAGGGTAACGTCCACCGATCTCGAGGAAGAGTTAGGAGAGGTACATGCTCTTGTGAGACAGCGAACTCAAATTATGAGTGACAAAATGAAGGCCAGGTATGACAAGGCGATGAACTCCGAAGGTTCTCAAAATGGAGATTTAGTGTACAATCCACAACGGAAGAGGGGTTTGTCCCCAAAACTTCAATGTAATTGGGGAGGTCCATACAAGATAATCAAACGACTAAACGACGTAGTGTATCGAATCCTAACCGTTGGGAGTCCAAGAAACAAGATGAAAGTAGTCCACCTTGAGAGGCTTGGTGAGTTCGGATCAGCGAATGTGTCTGATCGGGACGATCAGACTTATGTAAAGGGCAGTGTTGCGAAAATGCGAGGCGAATGTCAGATAAAAGAGAGAAACCGATAGCTAGTACATTCTAGAACGATAAAACGAGAACCTACGATAGCGAACGACTCGATTATTCTACACTTTCGTCTAGGAGCAGCCGACTGCTATATAAGGGCGGCACTCAGCTACCAAGCCAAGTCAGTTAAAAAGTGAACTCGTTGGCGTTAACATCAGTAAAGTCGTAGAGTAAACGCGATGGGGATTACATTGAAGTAGAGTAAATTGTGAAAGTTGATGCAAATGATTGTAGCTAGTAAAGTGCATTGTAATTGAATTGTGAATTAATGAGTAAATAAAGGACATTAGATAAATTCTTTGTAACGAAAGAAACTGCAACTTAAGTTGGCGATTTTTATTTAACAATCCAGAGATCGTACCCGAAGGATTCCGAAAACATTGAGGTTGATTCAGCAAAATCGTAACAATATTACGCTGATTTTTGGAAGCGAATTTATTGTTATTTCTTTTGTATGCTATATAAACCATGTAGACTGAATCTTAATAATTTTTCTATGTATGTATATATGTATGTAGAGAAAATTTTTGTCAAAGCTGATTTCCTTCGGCGTCAATGCTGTCGCTCATATGTATTCGGCTTGTCCGACAAGAATGACATAAATACACAAGGATATGAAGAGAGAATGACGTATATGTATACAACATCACGTTCGTCTTTTCGGCCTTAAGAAAGTGATAGGAAAATCGTTCTACAAGCTGACGAGATATGTCGTCATGCATTCCTGACATATGTTGGCTCAAATGATCGGAAGCCTTCTTGCAGGGTAATCATGGCTTCCTTAACGGAAATATTAGCTTTGTTATTTAATTTGTCCAAGTCCTCAGGCACGACAATTACTCCGACCAAATCTAAACCACTATATATTTGGAAAAAAACATCACTGTGACATACCTACTCTTAACTTTAACAATGTAAATTTAGCTTATAGAGATAGTTTTAAGTTTCTAATTTATTTATGACCTTAAACATTATCAAATATCTATCGAGTAAGCGCTAACTCGTCGTCCCGGCTCTACTAGTAAACTTAATCAAGTCTATCATCTCATCTGTAATAAATTACGGCTTAGAAATATATGGCCACCACTCTGAGATTCACATTGATGCTTGGTACACCTTACCACTCTGCAGTCGCCGCGCTATTCACGCATTCCCGACATCTCCAGTAAAAAACATTTTATCTGCGCATCGGCAGGGAATGCTCACCCCTCCGACTATATTTCGGACAAGAAATACAGGTTCCTCGTAAAAAACCCGTCAGCCGTTCGGAGGCGGCTTAGTATAAACTGTAGGTCCTTCCATTTGTTGAAAAAACAGCGAGACGCAAAATTACAAAGCACCATTTATATACATATGTGTATGTATATACATACATATATGTATGTATGTAAATATATATTATAGACATTGTATGAAATTTAAAGTAGTTAAACTCATAAAATACTTCTGAGGCCAACAAATAAAGGAATACGTGTGACTTGCGGGCGCACAATTGTGTTATAAAATGCCGACCACTGAAATAAATATGTACATATATACATATGAATATGTCCAGATTAATATAGATTGAATGATATGGAAGTATTGCTCATTAGAAATTTATATACATATGTATTTATTTATGGTGCTGTTTTCAAGTTATTAATTTGTTTAATGCATTTTCATAAAAAAAAATCAATCTTAGCTCTTATCAGGAATCTATGATTTTTGATAATATTTTAATAAATATTATGGATAAAATATCTTAGTCCATACAAAGTCCGCTACTCCGTAAAAGCATATGTATTGCAGCAGCTAAGGCAGTTACCAACCGCAACGTAATATGAAGCACTCCAATTGGTTTAATAATATGCCGTACAACAAAGTGAAACCATCGGCTGTGCAACTTCATAATATTGGCTACAATGAATTTCTGCACCGGATTCCAAGGGATAGCTCAATTTTCAATGACATTCGAACTACATTATTCATCTTAAAGGCAACTGGCTTGTTACCATTCTACGAAGAGATTTCTAGTTATGAAGTGGGTCCTCCGACAAAACCAAATATTTTCTATTCTTATTTTATTCGAGGCGTTGTGCAAGCCCTCACAATATTCAACCTCTACAACCTCGTAACGTCTGGATCGGCACAACTCTTTTCCTCATATAGTGATACAGACAATGTGAATAAATGGATAGAGTTTTTGTTGTGCATGTTAGCTCATTCGACGACTGTTATAATTTGTGCGAGGAATTCAAAGTCTTTTTTAAAAATTATAAATGAAATATTGAAAGTAGATGAGGATGTTTTTGACCGATTCGGGACAGCATTTGAAAATAGATGCGGTTTTTCGTTGAAGTTTATTGTGGGCATATGTATTTGCCAATGGTATTTAATAATTCTTACAGTCCTTGAAGCTAGTGATTCGTTAAACATGAATTCATATATATTTATTATGTTTAATGCAGTTCAAAACGGCATGGCTGCTATTTTCATTGTTTTCGCAGCGGCTTTGTTGAGAATAGTAAAAGTGCGTTTTGCTCACTTAAATTCCATTCTATCAGGCTACACATACAACCAGCAGCGTAAACAAGAGCATTTTGCAGGACGAGAAAGATTTAGGAACACAATGGAAACATTTCCAGAAGAATCTTTATTTACATATCGCATGCATAATAAGTTACTAAGGATTTATCGCTCAATAAACGATTGCTGCAGCCTTATTCTTGTGGCATATATGGGATATGCTTTTTACACTATTACAACTACAACTTATAAGCTATTTGTCCAGATAACAACACAAAGTTATCCACAGATATCATACAATGTATTGCAGACTTGCTTTACCTGGCTAGCTATGCACACATGCGTACTGGCCCTTCTGTCGAGGAGTTGTGGACAAGTCACTGATGAGGTGAGGCACTGTTTTTTGTTAGTTTTGTCTCATATATTATCATAGTATTGATAGGCTAATTGGACTTCGCAAGTTTTGGCTCGTGTATATAGCAAATCTAAAGATCATCAAAATATTGTAAGTACGCACATATATATGCGTGTATATGAAAATTCTTGTAAATATTTTAATTGGATTTTAAACTTATCTAGGTGGATAAATTTTTAACTAAAAGTGTTAAACAGGAAGTACAATTCACTGCTTATGGATTTTTTGTTATAGACAACTCCACACTTTTTAAGGTATGACACAATATATCTAATATATAGTTAATTTTATACAACCTTATTTTATTAGATTTTCTCAGCTGTCACCACCTATTTGGTTATTTTGATTCAGTTCAAACAACTTGAGGATTCAAAAACGGTGAACAACTCGATGTGAGTTTAAAGTAGATACAGAGCAAAAAGATTTTCATTCACTATTACCGAAATTTCTATTATTTATTTAATCACACGTACACAGTTATAAAAAAATTGTTCTACAAATAATCAAATTTACTAAGAGTTTATTATTTCAGAGTGCAACACCATCATATTATTTAGTTATCGGTTGGTTATCTTAAAATTATACTCTTAATAAATACAATGTAATTATTCTTCGGAAATAAAGGAAATATGTATATCATCATACTATGAAGGGACCGTTAACTTAGTTTTCGGTAAATTTTGATTTTCGTCGCTTTTCGCCAAAAAGAAACGAGCATATTCTGTCTAAGGCAAACGCAGCAATAGTATCCGCCAGTAACACAAGTACAAGTGTTTTACGAAACTAAAATTGTGAACCATAATTGATTTATTGTGATAACCTGGGAAGACGTTGCTTTGAATTCGTATACTTACGTCTTCTGGGAACGATACGATTTCAAAAGTTTCTGTTAGGTCAGATGAGAGATCCAATGAAAGGAATAAAACTAAACCGGTAGACACCAATATAGATGTTAGAAGCGGACGATTTTCGCGCAAACTTTCCATAAAAGGATGTCCCTGTTAAAGTTAATATTAAAATAGCTTGATTTTAAATAATGAATAAATTATACCTTATGATTAACAGCGAAGGTGGAAACTTGAAGAGCAAGACAAATTATGTAAACAGTGCTGTTTATAATATTGGGCTCAAAAGACTGCTTCTCTTCTGGATCCATATCGATGTACAATTTAATCTTCCCTGTCCTGTTGTTGTTTTCATTGTTATAACTTATTGATATCAGAGTTTATTTATATTTAAAAAAAAAACATACCTTTCTGGTGCTCGCAATGTTGCTTCCTGTGTTAAATAATATAGCGTACCAAAATGAACAGCGAATTGGCAAAGTATGGTTGATATGCTATAAATGTTGAAAATATTTGGCAACGGCGCGGTTTTCGATAGAGTTTTCAGCGGCTAATTATAAAATAAGGTATAATTCAACTAATTTCTACCCGATTAATTAAACTTTTTTACCTTTGAGCGTGTTATACAAAGAAAGCATGCAGCAATAAAGAGTCCCTGCAGAGTAGCTTGCATGTCACTAAATTTAACTCCGTCAATATACAAAACTGATTGACAGTAGGCAGATATGAGTGCATTCAGGGCTAAAATTTTGAACATTTGTAAGGTTGTTACTAAGGTACATCGTCCCTGTTTGATAATATGATTGACTAAGTAAGGAAAAAATAAATAAACAATTTAGTAAAAAACCGTGTTTTGATTACGTAGAACTTACCGCATGTTATCGAAGAAGTTTTACTTGTAAAAGGTGCAGCTATGCTAGCATCTCCCAGTTTCACCACAGATGTTTCCTCATACATATCCTTAAGTTCTGATTGTAATCGAGCCTGTGTAACATTTAGGTTCTCCCTGTGGCGTAAAATTGCACGTTCACGTGGCGAAAGGCCTTGCCTTTCCATTGTATTGGAAGCACTTGTGAAATGTCTTCCGCTACGAGCGTTAACAGCAACATTATTAGATGAAGAAACACCTGCATCTAAAACAAGTGTTCCTGATCCGTTAGTGACATCCCGTTTCTTTTTTGTTTTTGTTGGTATATTGCTCAAAAGGGATACACCGACATGAGCATGTTTCAGAGCTCCTACATCGTTGGTGCCGTCGCCACACATAAGTGTATAATAGCCTAAATGCTTTAGAGATGTGATTACGTATTCTTTTTGTTTTGGTGCAAAGCGCGCACAGACCGTAATGTAAGGTAATATCTTTAATAAATAATGGTTTTCATATTCACGGAGGTACAGTAAACCTTCTCCGGTTATACACAAATCATTTCCATTTAACAAATCTGTTAACTCGTGTTTGAGAGAATACTTGGACTCTGAGTCAATCGAAAGCCATTGCCATATAGAATCCGCTTTATTAAGTGTAAGGATAAGTAGCTTTTTCCGTGTAAATCGCAATTCTTTAGCCACGTGGCATGCTGTGAGTGGATTATCTCCAGTTATCATTACTACTTTGTGCGAAGCATGTATTAGTTCCTTAATTACACTTTTTGAATCGGGCTTTATGGGGCACGATATTATGACAAAACCGGCAAATATTAAGTCACATTCAACATCTTCTCTTTTCAATTCTCGAACTCTTTGGGCATCCATATTACCGAATTCTTTAATGCCCAAAGCTAAGACGCGCGCACCCCGACGTGAGAACTCAAGAAAGGTCTGGAAAAATTACGAACATTCGTTCATAAGTTGATAATGATTTTATGTTTTCACCAATGAAAAAATATTACGATAAAAATTAACATTTGTGGGGGATTAGTTTTACCTTTTCGTAGTGCTTGGGAACCTCCTTTAACATTTTCTGAATAACTTCGGGTGCTCCTTTTACAGTACCTATATAAAAAATTTCATTGGTAAAAGGAATTAAATAGCCTGCCAACACAGACATTCTTTTTAACGCTGATGAGAAATAATAACGATGAAAGATACGCAAAGGTTTTAGCTTTCCTCTTTTTGGAATGACGCTCTCTTGTTTGGTAAGGCTCCAATCAACGGCTGTAAGCATAGCTTTTTCAAGTGGATCCCCAACTAAACCATCCTCAAGCATTACCAAGGAATGGCACGTCGCCAAAACTTGAATGGTTTTGTCGTCTGTTTTATCCATTGGCACGATGGTATTGTCTTCGACCAAACCAACCACACCTTCAACCATCAAATTATCGGAAGTCAGAGTTCCGGTCTTATCGAAACAGCAAATTTGAACCTTCCCAGCAAAAGGAATACGGAATGGTTCGGTGCAAAAAACGAAAAGTTTGGATAATTGCATAAGTGAAGTGTTCACTGCTAATGTTAATTCGATTGGAAGATCAGGTGGTATAATTGATGTTAATATGAGTGTGCATTCTAAAAATAGTTTATACCGGCTTCTCTCAGGATCCTCTGTGCCCTTAATCCAAACATAAACAGCAGCTGCGACAGCGAACACCATAAGGAATAGTATAAAAGCGAATGTCTCCAAATTATTTTCCGTGACTCGGTTTACACCAAAAAGAATGGTTCTTAATAGCTTTCCCTGAGATGTATTAAAACCATTGCGTAGCACATAGCCTATGCATCCACCATCTGGCGCTCGCATTGCATCCTTTGTAGGGGCGGTGTGTTGGACAACTTTAGTGCCTCCAAATAAAACAAATAATTTACTTTCACCTTCCATGTCTAATTCTAAATCCAAGTTATCAAGTGTTTCCAATGATTCCTTCATTTGTGGCACAGATTCACCTAAATAGAATTGCACGAGTTATTACGAGTACTACCGCAGATAAAAATTGAAAATTAACGATATTTACCTGTCAACATACTTTCATCAACAATACAACTACCACGCAGCAATACTATATCACAAGGAACCAAATTGTCACTTTGTGATCTTGTTATTGACACTATGTCTCCAGGTACCAATTGATCAGAGTTAATTTGCCGCCATTTATTTTGTCGCAAAACATTCAACAAGTAGGGTTTGTTTCCCATTTTTCTAATTTCGGCCATGTTATGAAGTTGTTGTCCGACGAGTGTGCACTCGAAAATTACCATCATAAAAAGTGTAAATAATGAATAATACCAATATTCGTCTAGGCACCATAAAGCCACTGAAAATATCTGAAAAACGAAAAATGGTGCTGTGGCACGTTCTATAAACAATTCATAGAACTCTGGTACAACCATTTTCATCTCATTTAATCCATAGGTTTGCTCAGCTAATTTAACAGAAGTTTCAGTTTCGTGACCGCGACTACATGAATAATATTGTAATGATTGGTTCACAGGAAATGCTATGCTGCGAAAAGTATTTTTTTCAATATCCCAAACATATTTTGTCTTTTGGAACACAAAATAAAGCTGCTCTTCGCCATTTGCTAATTTGTTACAGTTTACGTGTACTAATTGAGATGAGCCATTATTTACTGTTGGTACAACTTTAGCTAAGACGCCGTGTTTTGGAATTTTAACTTTTCGGCAATTAAGAAAAGCTAACACATGCACACTCCAATAACAACATAGCAAAGATATAATCTGAATAAATGCGATTACGGCAACTGTGATAAGACCGGCTTCATAATGTACATCAATTCCGTAAACGAAGATCCATACATAGAAAGCAGCTAAATATAAAATTATAAATGGCATTACTATTCCGCTTAGCGCTATGGGATTTCTAATGTGTAATGTCACATATTGCACCAAATCATCCAAAGCTGGTTTCCTCCCATTCTTCCTAGTTTTCAAAGCAGAATTCCTTGGAAATGTCTCTAAATCATTTTTGTCAATGTAATCGTTCTCCATTTTAATTTTCCAGAAGTTTCTTTTAATAATAACTGCTACTACAGCTTTAGAATCCTTTCAATTATTAACAACTTTTAAAGTCCCAATTATTTGTAGGCAGCTACCTATATACAAGTAATTAATAATTTATTATTTCTCCCGTTTTTGGCCGTCATTCTGATTGTCATTCTAAACGTCACCTCATATATTCTGATGCTACCACGTTGACACAAACAAACTTAAGCTATTGGTCCAATGCTAGCTTGATTATATCCCCTGAACGAATAAAACATTAGATTAATTGAATTCGTATAATACTGTTACGATTTTACTAAATCAACCTCGATTATTTTCTAAATCCTTCGGGTACGATCTCTGGATTGTTAAATAAAAAACTCGCCAATGCAATTTGCAGTATCTTTCGTTATAAAGAATTAATCTAATGTCCTTTATTTACTCATTAATTCACAATTCAATTACAATACACTTAATTATTTACAATCACTATCATCAACTTTCACAATTTACTCTACTTAAATGCAATCCCAACACGTTTACTTTACGATTTTACTGATGTTAACGCCAACGAGTTTACTTTATCACTAACTTGACTTGCAGCTGAGTGTCGCCTTTATATAGCAGTCGGCTGCTCGCAGACGAAAGCGTAGAAGCATCGAATTGTTCGCTATGGAAGGTTCTTGTTTTATCGTTTCTAGAA